TGATTGATGGAGTTCTGACAGAGTCACCGGACTCAAGGCATTAACTCTGGTTTCTTCCCACAGATAATGCCAGACTTGCAGAGTTTTGTATCACTGAAACACAAACTTTTCTAGTAATCATCATCACAAGCTATTAGAGAGAGTTTGCTGCATACAACTTGGCACCCATGTTTCCTACATTACAAAATTGATTATAAACTTGAGGCACTGGCAGACTATAAAATGTGTTACGTAAATGCAAGCCCTTATCTAGAAAGGCCAAAGGGCAAATTCACAAGCGATATATATGCATCCCGCCCTCATTGATATTCCCACCTAAACATAATCAACAAGATAGGGAAGGGAAATTTTCCATATGCAAGTTGGGTGCTTTACCAGCATCTAAAAGCTATACGTACAAGCCTCAGGGTTTCGATGATTGACTACTCCAGTTCAATTCACACCAGGACAGTTTTAAATATAATTTTTGAGTCAGTTGTACAAATTTAAGCTTGGTACACCTTTCAAAGCCTGTGACCTCTCCCCCACCCTCTGAAAAGTCAGTACTATTCTTATTCATTTTAAGAGAAGCAGCTGAAAAGTTCAGGTATTTTTAAAAAAGTTTTAATTTAGAAATCGAAGGCACGCCCTAACTTTAATAAAGAACTTTAACTTTAGAAAACGAAATAGACTCCAGAGAGATTTGGAAACACTAAACACAAAGTAAAAGAATTTTCACCCTATTAAAGTGCACTCCATGAATCCAAGTTGATACTGTTCACAATTCTGTCACAATGCCTTTCAGACTTTGCCCTCTCAACCCTCCAACCCTCTGCCTCCCACCAGCATTTCTGCTTCATTGCAATTTCCCATCCACCCAGCTCAGTGATCAAGACTTAGGCATTGTCTAACATGGGGAGAATAAAGGGGAGGATTTTGTCAGGCAATCCTATTATTGCTGGAGTCTGCTTTTCATCCGTCCCTGCCACTGTCCATAGGCAGACAGCACAATCAGCTTTGACAGGACAATGAAAAGCTGCATCAGCTCACACCAACAAGCTCACACACATTTTTAAGTGACACACACATCCAAGAATTGGTACAAAACATTTCACTTTTGCTGTGAAATATCATGCAAGTCCTGAATTGCTTTATTTTTGTTTAAATTCCTCCCCCTCAAAACAGCTGCTAGCCTACACACAAATTCATTCTTTAATTATAAGATACACACACCACAGTTTGGGAAACTTGCTGATCACACAAAACATAAACACAAACAGCACAGGGCAAGACCCAGTAATATTTAGATCCCAGATTACAGAGTAGCTGAACGAACGCACATTCCCGACGCGGCCAGAAATGTTTTAAAGGAGACCCAGCCAAGAGCTGGGTTTTAAAAACAAAATCAACGGCATTAATGAATAATAAACACAAAAGGCAGAGAGACCTCCGACGCCGTTCCCCCCTGAGGTGAGCCACACAAAGCAGAAAGAGATTTCAGTGCCAAAAAGGATGGGCGGTGGGGGGAGGAATACCAACTTCTTGCGAATGAGGTGGGGGGGGGGGGCAAAAAAAAAGAAATGAAAATTAATGCTAAATGGTGCGATCAGAGCGCAAGTTGCGCGATGAGGTAAACCAGTTTTCGGAGAAGACGAGGTGGGATTAAGAAACAGAAACACACACGCAAAGTAAAAGAAGCGAAAAAAAAGGAGAGAGAATTTGCCGAGGTTATTTGTGAAGTAGCTGAGGTGTTTTTTTTACCTGTGAGCAGACAGAGGAGAGACAATGTAACCAGCGCACTCTGCTTTGTATCCATTGCAGCTACTGTATCCACTGTTCAGGTTGTTGTGGAGTTTACCTGATCCCAAAGCACCGTCACTTCCGGATTCTATTTTTCACCCCCCTTGGCAACAGCTTCACCCCAATCTCCCTCTGCCTCAGGCTACATGGAAATGAGGGAATCGGAGGTAAATAACATCCATCCAACACTGTATTCTCTCGTCTCTTTTCCAGTGGCGTCGAATGCAATCAAAACAAAATGAAAATAGTCAATTGGAAGTGTGTGTGTGTGGTCACACCAAATGCAAAGACGAAGAGGTGGGCGACAACATATTGCTGACCCTGGGCAGCAGCTTAGAGCTTCTCCAGCGCTTTCAGTTTGTCGAGATGGTGGGACAGATGTTTCTTTTTGGGAGATTGTGGTGTTCGATCGTGGGTCGATAGTGCCCACTGGTGGAAGGATCATGTACGAGAAGGTGAGACAACAGGGTGTGTAGCTGGAGGAACACAGCAGGCCAGGCAGCATCAGGAGCAGGAAGGTCAGCGTTTCCAGTCAGGACCCTTCATCAGGTCTGAGGAGGGGGAAGGGAGCTAGGAAATAAATAGAGGGAAGATGGGTGGGGCTGGGGAAGGTAGGTGGGATGGTGATAGGTGAGTGCAGGTAGGGAGTGGTGGAGATAGGTGGGAGAGAAGATGGACAGGTTGTGCCAGGTCAAGGTGGCGGGGACGAGAGGGAGGGTTGGTCATGGGATGAGGCTGGGGGTGGGGAGATTTTAAACTGGGCTGTAGGCTCTCGAAGCGGAATATGAGGTGCTGTTTCTGTGACACTGGAGGAGGCCCAGGATGGCCTGGCATCCAGGGAGTAGGAGGAGGTGTTAAAATGGTTAGTGACCGGAAGGTGTTGTCGATTATCTTGTACAGAGCACAGACGCTCCACAAAACGGTCCCAAGTCTGCAGTTGGTCTCACCGATCTAGAGGAAGACACATCGGGAGCAACGGATACAGTCAACCAGGTTGGAGAATGAGAGATAGTAGGAACTGCAGATGCTGGAGAATCTGAGACAACAAGGTGCAGGGCTGGATGAACACAGCAGGCCAAGCAGCATCATAGGAGCAGAGAGGCTGACGTTTCGGGCCTCGACCCTTCATCAGAAAAGGGGGAGGGGAAAGGTGTTCCGAAATAAATAGGGAGAGAGTGGGAGGCAGATAGAAGAGGGATAGAGGAGAGGATAGGTGGAGAGGAAACAAACAGGTCGAAGAGGCGGGGATGGAGCCAGTAAAGGTAAGTGTAGGTAGGGAGTTAGGAAGAGGATAGGTCAGTCCAGGGAGGACGG